CCCCCTGACTTGGGCCCGAACAGGAAAGTGCCGGTAAACTCTTGTGTGGTGCAACTGGAAAGGACAGAATTCACAATTCTTTTAAAACTTTATCTTGGGACCTTTCTGTGCTTCCTTTCCATGCTTCTTGCCCTCATTTAATGTTTCTTCCATGGAAAGCTATGACAGCTATGAAAGCTAGGTGCATGTCTAAACATCGGTAGGTTCTTTTCGGTCCCAAGGCAGATATTATGGGATGTATGTCTTGTTCCACGATGTCCCACGTATTCCCAGGTGTTTAAGATTTGTGACATTGAGGATATCTGACAATAGGCACTAATTTATACCAACTGAACATATCTTAAATAACAATATTTTAGCTTCTGGAAGCAAGACTTCCACAAGGGTGAGCTGTGTTGGAATCTCCAAAGTTGGGCATCTCAGTCAAACTTGCTTTGTGCACATATTCAAACGTTTGATTGTGCGAGGCGCTCGCCGGAACTGAGCCATCGAGGCTACGATACACACAAACAGAGACTGCACACACTTCTGGTTCTATCAAACCTTGTGTACCCTGACAAGCAAGTTCTGACCAACATCGACATGTAGTTTTCACATTGTGCTCTGCATCGGCCCCTTGGTGCCACGCCTCCCCTATTTTTAGGCTGTCAGCACCAGTGCCCCTTCCAATGCGTGAAACTCAGAGGGCCAAGACAAGTGTTGCTTTGATGAGTAGGTTCAAGAAACCCTAGCACTTCATAAAACGAAAGCCTTTGCAATTTACATGAGCATACAGAGATGTAGGATCAATGATTGTCTTCATGGCCCCATGGCTGTCGTGTTCTTTATATCCTTGGTTTCATTTAACTCTGATCCAACATCTTGTGCAGTCAAACAAACACATCAGCATGTTTAAAGGCGTGCCACTATGGGGCCAACGCACCAGATGGTGCAGGCAGATGTTGGACTCGAACAATTATCTCAACAATTATTCTCTTGTGCTGCATCTACCATTTCCATGAAAAGTACAATGAAACAGAACTAGGTACAAAGACCTGTTGAAGCGCATCCGTTTTCTTGAGAGGCAGCATGTCCACCTTGTCCTGCTCGAGCCACTGTGCCGTTGGGCCTTCACCACCAGGCCAATCCCATCCCAATGCTTGTAGCTTGTGGGGAGCCAGCGAGAAAGTGCAGCACAGCGAACTCTTTGGCACATCTTGTTGTCACTGTTAGGCCGGTCTAAACGGGCTTGCACGCTCGCCCAGCCCGGTCCGGGACCAAAGATCCCCGAATCCCCAACTTATGTGCGGTTTGTGACTGG